GTGCAGTGTGGATCATCCTGACAAAGAAATTTTAAATTCAACACACATGAACAGCCTTTTTAAAAGTAGACATATTGACAAGTCATAGCAGGACAAGCTCAGGTGTAATTAAATACTTTAATGATGGCTGCATTCCATTCTGATGACTCATGATGACTGATGAGCAATCATTATTGTTATTAATTACGCCGCTGTATTTCCTGCTTTTACAAATCCAAATGTCTGTGAAAAAGGTGTCTACCAACTACTTTTCTCCACAAATGGCCTCAATGGAGTTTGTTAATACATCCTTTTTAAGGACTACTGTATAGAGGAGAACTAAAAAAAAGGCACAAACACACACATATGTATAGCAGCAGCTATAGCACAGTGGATATGCAGAATGTAATGTCATTACATTCAATTCCACATCTTTAATCTCTCTACTGATAAAGCATGTGTGCATGACACTCGTCAGGACTGGTTAATTAATTACTAAACAAACAAAACAGAGGAATGGAATAGCCTGCGCTGATCAAGGTGTTTTTCTAATTCAGTCTCATTGTTAGAATGCCATCCCATCCCCAGAAATTGAATTTTTTCTTCTATATATAATGTTGCCAGTGCTGAGGCAAACAGGTCGGGTAGGGTAGTTGTTGATTACAATTTGCATGAAATTGTTAATTTGTACAACAGAAAAAAAAACAATGAAACAAAATGACCATATTACCACTAATTGATTCTACAGAGAGTCAATAAATATTTAATTAACAATCAGCCCTTCTGAATTGACAGAGGAGAAAAAACCAGCCTAACTGGTTCAGTAGAGTGAAGCAGACTGCTGCCTTACAAAGCACTCTCACAAACTGTTCATCTAACGTCCCTGAATAAGAGACTACAACCAGCAACTGCCTGGCCACGGTCAAATTCCAGTGGCATATTGAAAAAACATAGCTACACTTTTCCCCCCAACATTTCAATTTCTCCAGTCATATTTGTTATGATAGGATAGTGACAGACCTTGTCAATGGCCCTCATGTCAGTAACAGCTGTACACTGGCAAATGAGAAGTTAGAGATGTAAAGGTCCTGCACATCACTGAAAAACTCCCACAAGTGGTTTTACTTAGTCTGCCTGATTAGAGCTGCCGTCAGAGCTGGGGGCATGTTCACACCATTACCACCTGACATCTACCTAGCTCTCCTGTTTTACTCCACCTGTTAGGGTGGGACAACTTAGACCTTTGCCATTTTTTATTTCTTACAAGAGATATTTCAACTTGTCAAACACGGTGTAATCTCTCTCTCTCTCTCTCT